TTCACGAATGGTAATATAAACTTGGCATGGCATGATTTGAAAGAGATATAAAATGTTTTGTCATAAGCATTGCATGTGCATTTTACCTTTATAGTTTTATTAAGATTCATATGTTGCGTTGAATTATTTCTACTGAGTTTTGGCTCACCCTATGTGGGAAAAACATTTCAGGTGTAGATGATATGCTTCCGCCAAGGCAATAGCTTGGGCGGACATGGAGCAAGAGCTTCATTTTGTTAATTATGTATTTGTTTTGAACAAGCCAAGGGGTTTTATATGTATTGCGATTTAAATCCATTTTTGTTGTAACTAAGTGCTAATTTGGAAAGTTGTAAGCTTTTAGGGCATTCTCTTATTTGTTTACCTTTTATTTTGTTCCTCATCACGTAACACATGCTATAGATTCAGGGGCTAGGCATATGAACGTATAGTTGCACGTGTTGCTCTTTTGTATAAGAAATTTAAATTAATGGAAGTACTTATCTCTTCATATGTCGTCTTTCAATCACTATTGTGGATGGGTTGTTGTATTTAATTCGGGGTGTTACATATGTAATAAAGTGTACGATATAATCACTTGTCACTACGTAAAACATAAATGGCATTCAAAACTACATTAAAATTTTTCGAGAAATTGGCATTGATGTGGACCTATGATACGGTTGTGAACTATATTGGTTCCTTGCATATTTTTCTATTATGAAGCGTAATTTTGTCGCAACGCTCGCAGCGAATTCGGTGTACCACCTCACCTTTTGACGGGATTCGCTTCCGTTTGGGCCTTCCAGGTTAGCGCTTGTAAATAGGTTGTGCAATGAGGAAATCATTTGTTGATAACTTCGGTTTTCCCACCGTAGGAATTGGGTGAATTGCCACCAAGTACACCACCTTGAACTCGTTGACATGGTAAAACAAATCAATGAAGTCATATATGTTTTTGCCACTATTCCGGAAAGCAACAACCGTGTAGGAGCATGGGAACCCATTTAATTGCCACTGGAAGCACAAACATGTATGTATGCCAATATCAACCAATACTGATGGGTGCGAACAAACCTTAAAAACGTTGTCATCGGCCTGACTAACAATCCACGATCTACTTTCCTCGTACGCTGAATCCAAACTCTTTGCCATCTTCGGGCAGGGCTCCCTAACCCAAACATTTGATTTAGCTTTACGTTTGCTTCGTTGCTCCATGATTTGAACCCTAATTGCATCCACCAACTGGGTAATGGGAAGATGTCGAGCATTCTGAACCCAGTTATTGAATGACTCGACAGCGTTGGACCACATCTCACCATGCCTGCGATCCCTGAAAAAAACATGAAAAAAAATGATAATATGTGAAGATGCGATATGTTTTGCAATGTATACGGGTAACAGTTCGTAATGTTACCGAAATGCGCATTTGCCTAATATTGTGGATGCAGATCTTGCAAGAAATTCCCGATGACTAGGGTTACACTGTTTCAATATCTCAATCTTCTAATTGAATGAAGCAACTGTGGGTGCATATGCACATTCTCGTAGTTTTTGCATGAGGCCAATTTTGTGTTTGGCATTAACGTATTTTATTCGATCTCTTAGGTTCATTTGAAGATGTAACAAACAGAATTCGTGATGTGTCGTTGGAAATACGGTAGGCATCGCTTGTAGTAAATCGGCATCCCGATCAAACACAAACATCAACATCCGGTTATAATCCACAACTGCAGACAGTTGACGCAAGAACCACTCCCAATTGCATGCATTCTTAACATCAACTATAGTGAAAGCAATTGGGAATAAACCTGCGAATGAACATTATTGAAACAATTTTGGAAAATGTTAGTTTTAGGACTGGAAATTTCCAACATAATCTAAATCTCACAAAAAATACATAATGACGTGGTATGTTAATTGTGGCATTCAAGTGAAATTGAGCATGTGGGCTAAAACATTAAAAACTAAGAACACATATACCTTGGCTGCCATCCTTAGCGGTAGCTGCAAGCAATGTTCCCTTGGATCTCCCTTTGAGGAACGTGCCATCAAGAAATAGAAGCGGGCGGCAATGTTTGAACCCATCTATGCATGCGCGAAAATATATAAAATACCGTACAAACCTACCTGTTTGTTGTTTGAAATTCAAATTAATGAAACTGTGTAGGTTGTTTTCCATAATGGCGTCACTATACCACCTGAGTTGGTCGAACGATATTGCATGATCGCCATAAACTTCAGCTTGTGCTTTTTTGACCCCTAATCACACCACCCGGTAACTAAGGTCCAACCCGTACCCATCTTTCATATCAAATACCACGTCTGTTGGCCCCGTAAACAATTATTAGCACACCCGGCCCACAATGACACTGGACACCAAATCTAACCCAGTTTGCGGGTTCCTGAATGTCCTCATAGCAACACCACACAAATGTAAACTATTAAACCTCTTTAAACACAATCTCCCGTTGGATACAGACACCCGTGTGTGAACCAACCACGTACAACCAGTTGCCGTTGCGAACTTACATACTACTGTGATTCGCACAGAGTCATTTTTAATGTACTTAAATTGAAACCCACACTCGACAGCATATTTGCATAATATCCTCCGAAATTCATCAGCGTCGACCCCAAAAAATTAGCCAACATGTGCAATACTAAACGCCTAAACAATAGATAAGAATGTCTTAGATTTATACGTACAATATAAAGGCAATAAATCTGTTTGGTCTTCCATATCACATCTAAGCCAATCATTCTTTTGGAATACCTCACCGTTACGAGAATCCATGACACCGCAACCAATGCCTGACCCATAACTTTTAGTTTGAATAATCACATCAATATGTTCTAAACCGAATGACCTTGCTAAGGAAAACATATTATGGACATCGTCATCATAATCAACCTTAAACTTATTGTACCTAGGAACATCAAACAAGAGAAACATGAAACCCGGCACCAACCCATTAAACTTGCCACAAACACCCTTAACCAGTTGTTCAAATGCCGAAGCTTGATAAAGACGAGCAACCGCATCTGCCTGTTCGAATGTGCACAAAAGCAAAATGACAAACTCCATACCTAGTACAATTTTTTTTTAAAAAACCCCAGCATAACATTATAAATTATAGAACAATGTAACTGACACAAACTATTCAAAAGTTACGACAATGCTGGTTAAAATAAGCATTGTAAATGTTATAAGGCCACACAATGTATTATTTTCTGATTCTGTGAATATCATATCAATTTACAAGTAACATTGAATTTAACAAAAACCTAAATAACAGTCCTACAATGAACCAAAATATTTGGAAAGAACATAGACCCAATGTCGTACAACGCAGAAATTGTGTGAGTTTCCACCACACACATCAATATCAAGCTGCCAACAACAAAGAAGAACACAACATCAAAAATCAACCACTGCAAAAAAAAAAAAAAAAAAAAAAAAAAAAAAAAAAACAAACAAACAAACAAACCAACTTGTTACAATCGCACAACCATCTTATTGCTCTGAACCCCAGTATGAACACCACCAAAAACATACACCTAACACACCCTCTTCAAAGAATCACAAATGATTGAACATCAATAATGACACGCCATGTAAGCAATATCAACAATCCCCTCAATCACTCAATCAAATCCCTAAAAAATATAGAAATGTTACCCCAAATCTTACTCTTAATCCAAACTAATATCAAAATCAAATCACAACTAAAGGGCATACACGTAAACTCTAATATCACTAAATCAAAGCAATAACACCTACCAAAAATAAATGAACTATTTGGTTTATAAAAAAATAAGTAGAACTAAATGGACTGAGTAATTTTTCCATATATGAAATGTTTTTAGTTTTGGATTTTTTGATTTAATGGATTAGTTTAATATTGATATCAAAGTGTCGCCATATTTGACTTTTGAAAAACTAGAAACTAATTTAATGAAAATAAAAACAACCACCTATTACATGATTATCATCCAAACACATAATAATAATTAATTTGGTAAAATAAATAAATAAATAAATGTGTAAAAGATTTATCAATTTAACATTTTATTTTTGGTGGTTAGAAATAATTTTTAAAAATTCAAAAATATTTGTTTGACTTTATTTTAGTCAAATTAATTTATATTTTATCAAATTGACGACTTTGCCATTAAATTGAGCAATGATATTTTCAATTGTCATTTTTTGAAATAAGATTCAAAATTCAAGGTCAAATGTGTCACAATTGAAAAGTCAGGAACCAAAGCGACACAAGCTCCAAACCAGCGGGACCGTTAGTGTAATTTGGCTTAATTTAATACTTTCTGAGTCATAACTAAAAAAAAATTATAACCAAATACCAAAAGTCATAATCAAATATTTCAAAACAATATCATAATTAAAGAAAAAAATTAGTTATAACTAAAAAAGAAAATAACATAACTAATGGTGCATATGATAGGTGGGTGTGTATAATAGAATTCTCTAATATTTTATTGAAATTGATTAGCGATGAGGAAAATACTATTTGGGGTAAGTTTGACATCTTTAAAAAAAGTTAAAAAGTTAAAAAGTTAAAAAGTCAAAAAGTCACTATTTTATTTAAGTCATATCACCTCTCTACCACATCACTTCAAATCCAACTCATATTTCATAAAAAGTAAAAAAGTACACTTATTTAGAACATTCCAAACAACCCCTTAAGATCTACAATTTTTTTTGTTTATAATTCGAACAATAATAATGTGATAGAATACGTGTCAAATTTTAATTTATCATATAATTAATTATATAAGGTCAACTTCTTTAACCACATTATTATGAATAAATTTAACCATCCAAATTATAGGCCTCTATCATTACTCAAATGGTTATATTATTTTGAGTATCCAAATATAACGGTCAAAATTAAAAGTCTGTATAATGAAAATGGTTGATTTTATAAGAGTGAAGATCTACGATCAAGACAATGACACGTGTATAAAATTTGGGAAAGTTACTAGCATTTCAGTCTCATGAAGACCAGACCACGATGGTGCATAAACCACCAAATCATTATCTCGGAAGGGTTCTCACAGACGCGACAGCCATCAATAAAACCCCATCCATAAAAAAGCCGTGTCTCAATCCTGTGGTTTTCGATACCCTTTACCGTACTTCCGCGTTCGGTTCTCTCTCCTCTCTCTCGGTGATCGAACGAACTGTAAGTTGTAAAAGTTCTCAATTTCAAAACCCTAGCCCTTTCATTTCAATTTCTTCATCAATGTGGTGATTCTCTATCTTTCTCTACTCACACATTTATGTGTCTTGATGATTGATTTTGTATTTTTGTAAAAAAAAAAGAAAAGAAATTTGATTTGTGTTTGTTTTGTTTTGTTTGATTGATGGTGTGTTACTGAAATGCATTTTGTTTTCTGTGATTTGTATTTGAAAAGGTGTATGTTTTTTATTACGATTTGATCTGAGAAGGAAAAGGCTGTTGTAGATTACAATTTGATTTTCACATTAGGGTTTATAAATTTGTGTATGTTTTTGTATATGAAAATGTGTTGATGTATGTATTGATTTTTGATTCGATATTTGTTGTGTTGTGTTGTGTTGTGTATAAGACGGTAATGATGAGCAACGAAGAAGAGAAGAAATGTCCTCTATGCGCTGAAGAGATGGACTGGACGGATCAGCAATTGAAGCCCTGTAAATGTGGTTATGAGGTTTGATATAACTTGCATTTTCTATTCCAACTTTATATATGGAATGGAACATTGTTCATAGTTTTTTAATTTTTAAACAAAAAGAAAAAGAAAAGTGGTTAGGGTTTCTTGTTTTGAGTGATCATGTAACTTATCTATTATTTGATTTGTTAGCTTAAATGAAAAGAGAACAAAGTATGAAGACTTGTGAATGCCGTCATTCTAAAATGATTTGGACTAAATTTTATATTATATCATGTTTGAATATAGATTACTTACTACATAGTAATACCTTGATAAGTTTTGGTTTTAATCTACGTTTCTCATTGGAAGCGTATTTCCTAGATGGACTGGACGGATCAGCAATTGAGCCTGTAAATGTGGTTTGAGGTTTGAAAGAACCTGCTTTTTTGTTGCAACTTTGTATTTGGAACATTGTTCATTCTAGTATTATTTTTTTTTTAAACCGTAGTTAGTGTTTCTTGTTTTGCTTGATCATGTCTACTCATCCATTATTTGATTTGATAGCTTAAATGAAAAGAGAACAATGTATGAATACTTGTGAATGCCATCATTCTAGACTGACCTGAACTATATTTTATATTATGTCATGTTTAAATTGATTTTCAACCCCTTATTACATAATACCTTGACAAGTTTTGTTTTTAATCTAGATTTCTCATTGGAACTGTATTTCCTAGAAATGGAGTTTAATAACAATCATTTCAACTTTGCCTCAGAAATTTGGTATGCAGAAGATCACTCAACATGATTGGTTACTGGGGTGTGCAATTTATGGCTGGTTTGCTCTGGCCTGGTGTAAGCCCCATTACAGCCAATATGCAGTTCTCCATGTAATGCTGGCCTGGTTTTGATGTTAACATAAACCCCCTGTGTTGATTCAATCCATCATACACATTGGAGAGTGGATTGGCCTGAATCAAATGGCCTAATAAAGTATTTGTTTTGTATAATAAAATGTTTTTGCTAATTTAGGACTTGAAAGAACGATTTTATGCATGGAAAATCAAAGCTTTTCATGTTATTTGTATTTCCTGTTGGAGGATTTAATGGGGCCTCTTTTTTTTTTTCCCCCCCTTATTATTTTCTCTTGTTTTTCAACTACCCTTAGAAAATGTTAAATATTTTAATTGTGCAGGATATGTTATGATATCCTATAATACAAATTATTTGAGGTGTACCATATGCCCGGTTATGACCTTTTGTGGCATTTTGTTACAAGTTCAGTGGTGTGTAGTTATGACTCATTGTGGTTGTGGGGCCCACTGGTTTCGGTTATGACCTATTGCGGTGGTGATGACCAAAGTGGTCTTTGATGTCTCATATTGTGTTTGATTATGAGACATGATGTCATAACTTGCTCATGGTACACTCCAAAAAGGGGGTAATATTAACAATGGCATTATTTTTTCAATCTATTATCAATGTTGTTCTGTTGTTGATATTGCTTATAATATTTGATAGAAGTGATCAACTCATGGCATGCATGACTCGTGTCAATAGTCTTTACTGTTATGTGGACTTCATGGTCTCTTAACCTTCATCTGATCATCCTTCATGTGCTTGTGTGGCACGCCATATCTAGTGGCGGCATTTTTTTGGTTTGAATCTGGGACACCTGATTCAGACAGATTTTACTGCATCTCATCATATAAAGTACTATTTTAGTGTGTCAATAAATCTATCTCTTGCGGTTTGTGTGACTTGCAGGCCTCCACATCTTTTATTTATTAGCAGCATGAACCCATGAACTATATTATATTATTAACAGAAATTTCAATGGTTTTTTTTTTTTGATAAATAGAAATTTCAATGAATGTTCCCTCCCTGATATAACAAAACCTTCTTGGTACAATTGTTTCTTTCAAGCTGGTTTCTTTGTCCACAAAGCAATAGAACATTTTATGACATATATTATCACTAGGTCTACTCATCACCACCGCTGACCAATATTTACAGACTATTTATAATTTTTATCCTAATTATATACTATATGTATTCTCGATAATATAGCTATAGAATCTTACTAATTTGCTATGCAATACCTGTGCCCAAATAGGCATGGAAATATTTTTGGTGTTAGATGTTGTCTCTTTCATGAAGTTAATTTGTTGCACGCGGAGAAAAAAAAAGGGAGGGGACTTACGTGTAGGTCCTAATAGGTGGCCTTATTGTCTAATAGGTCTTATGAGAAGTAATGGTTTTTTTCATCAAACACTATTAAAAAACATCACTAATTGTTAATTTTCAGTGACAGTTTGAAAATTTTGTCATAAAAAATGTCATTAATTATAAGTTTTAGCGACAGCTTAAAAAAATGGTCACTAATTTTCAACTTTCAGCGACAGTTTGAAAAATTCATCACAAAAAGTCACTAATTATAAGTTTCAACAACAATTTATAAAACTCATGACAAAAAAAAAGGTCACTAATTGTCAATTTTTAGTGACATGCAAAAAATAATCACAAAAAATTATTTTTAGCGATAATTTTACTAAGACTTATTTTCAATAGAATTTGATAGAAATTAAGTTCAACTATTAGGACCTATTGGTAGTTTATCCAAAAAGAAGAAGGTATTAGTTCAAGAAACATGAGGAACTTTTGGAGTGTTAGGAAGATAAGGTACTATATAAGGCAAGGAATCCTTGATCTAAGAGAGACTGGTCTAAAACAAGGAATGGAAGTTCTCAAATTGCTTTATATCTCCTTTACTTCTTGTTTTTCCAATAATATGAGAGCTTCATTTTCACTGAATTTAGTTTTACCCAAATTGTACTCGATGATTTTCAATATGGTGGTCATTCTTACACAAATATTGATTTCTAGAGCTAGGCTTGATCATGTATTTAATTTTATAATTCATCATTTCAAACAACTAAAGGAGCGGAGATGGTGTCCTAAGGATGTATCATTTTGCCCATACATTTTGTCTAGAACTGTGAGGGTACACTCATCTTTCATCAACTTTGTTTGGGTAATAGATTTCAGTCTCTAGGCTAGAGATGGTTAGCGCGCCCAACTTCTATTTTAGCCTACAATTGAGCCCAAACCTTAACCAGCGACATAAACTTCTAGCGCAAATGGGTGTTAATCGGTTTGGCCTTGTCCATTTCAATTAATCACTTTTCCCCTACTTTTAGAGGTTGTTTGGGATGTTCTAAATAAGTGCACTTTTTGACTTTTTATAAAAAGATGTGTAAAAAAGTAGAAAGGAGATGTTGATTGATATGACCCAAAAAAGATAAAAAGATAAAAAGTGTGGACTTATTTAGTCTTCCCAAACTTGGCCTTAGTGTTTTGGATTGTGTTTATGATTACTTTCCTGTATATTTAAATGCTTATGTACAGATGTATCTATGTAAATTCTAAATGTGACAACATACCTATTTGGGATTTCTCCCATGTTCAAAATGGTTCAAATCATTATACTTCTGTGACAATTAATTCCTTATATTATTTTCTTTCTGACTACAGGTGTGTGTTTGGTGCTGGCATCACATAATGGGTATGGCAGAGAAAGATGAGACCGAGGGGCGATGTCCTGCATGCCGGACACCTTATGACAAGGAAAAAATTGTAGGGATGGAAGCAAACTGTGAAAGGTCGCTCTTCTTTTGTGACCAAGTTATTTTACCAGTGCGTTAAAAACTGAAAACCTTACAGTGAATACTTCTTTTGATCAGGGTGGTGGCAACAAAGAAAGATCGAAAAAATAAAGCACAGAAGACAAAGACGAAAAAACCTGAAGAAAGGAAGGACCTAAGTAGTGTTAGAGTGATCCAGCGGAGAATGGCTTATGTAATTGGGCTTCCTCTTACTCTTGCTGATGAAGATGTGCGGGGCTTCTCTACTCTTGTTTTGACTTCATTATTTCTTCTCAGTCTTCTTGTATTGTATTGAGTCATTAGATAAAACCTCAACTTTGGATTTGTTTTTTCCCCCTAGTCTCTCAGCATGTTTTGTGATTTTGTACAGCGCCTACAGCGGAAGGAATATTTTGGTCAATATGGAAAAGTTGCGAAGGTTTCCCTATCTCGGACAGCCGGTGGGGATATTCAGCAATTTGTTAACGACACTTGTAGTGTGTAAGTTTTGACTCTCAACCCATATAACATGATGGTTAGATCTAACTATCTAAGTATTAGTCATGCATGATATCCTCACTATTATTTTTAGTCATCTGTAGTTTTGTCTTGTTTATATAGCCTCCAAATGTTAATTTGATGATTATTCCATTAAATCCTAGTTCTTTTATATGGTTTGGAGGTTTTATGTATGCTTAAATCACTTTTAGGGTAAACCACTGAAATCACGTAAGCAGACAGAACTGTTTATTCTGTCCGAAGCAGCCAAGATATCTGGACTAATTACTTACTGTTATATGTAAACAACAATTGTTAGGGGGTTGACGAGACTTGATTTTAGGAATAAATGTGAATGCAAACATTGTTGGTGAGGTAACCCACAGTGCCCCTTCTGGTTGCCAGATATGGGACTAGTCACTAGAATATAAGCTTGGATGGACGAACCAGGTTGTGGATGCCTTAAGTAGGAAGGCAGAAGCTGGTGGTGTTTTAGTGTGAGGCATGTGCAAGAAACTTTCCTCATGTGCTCGCTGGATCCAGAGGAAACATTACATTAATAGATAGCAACAAAGGGAGACCTTTCATAAGGTTCTTAAGAAGGTGGAGAAGAATGTGGTGGAGCAACTGAAACTAATCTCACACAGATCTCAATTGTTGATCTAATAAAATACTATTGTGGCAACCTCAATTGATGTTATTTTAAAATTTTGTTTGGCACAATTGCCATATAATGGCATTAATTTAAACTTTGTTATCACATAATTAGTAGATTATGACATTAATTTGGAACATTTTTTCCCTGTAGCTTGATACTTCTAGTAAAAAAAGGGCATAAATCATGATTCCTTAGGAACTCTCTGTTAGGTGTTATTATTGATCATGATTGATCTTATGTTAAATGTGAAATTGAAGATGATTAAGTGTCCTATTGGTAGGGTAGGGGTGTTCACTGGTCGGTTCGGCTCGGGTTTACCCCTAGCCCATTAGCCGAACCAATAGTATAGGCTGAAGAAATTAGTCATCCGTTGTCGACCGATGAACTGTTCGAAATCAACCGAATCAAAGACCTCGGTTTGACAGTCGGTTCGGTTGATTTTGAAAATGCGGTAGGAGAAGAAACAGAGTGAACAAAATTATGAAAACGAAATTCAAATTTCAAAATAATACACCCAATTCACATATATTTAGATATATACTTACAAAGTTACAGATCTGTACAAGAGAGAGAGGAGAGAAAATGGGAAAAAATGAAAAGAGAAAAAAATTTATTGATTGTCGGTCAACGACTCTACCACGATCGCTCATCGTAGCCGTAGCCCCAACCACCACGACCACCATTGGTCATTGTTGCTACCACGAGCCCTCATCTGCCACTGCCACTGCCACCTTTAAAGAGGGGAGGAAAAAGAGAGTAGCAGAGATGCCAGAGATGAGAAACTAAATCTGTCTTAGACTCCAATGGAGAAAAGAAAAGGCAGAGAAATTGAGAGAGAGAGTTTTTTTTTTTTCCTTCTGGAAAAGTCTCTTAGGGTTTATGAGAGAGAAAGACATTGAATGGTTATGGAGAAAAAGAGGAGAAACAGAGAGACAAAGAGTGGAGAGAAAGAAAGTCTCTTAATTCTTTGAAGAAGTGTAAGATTAATTTTTTGGAAAAGTGTAGGGTTTATGAGAGAGAAAAAAAGAGGAAAAAACTGGGAGACACGAGAGTGAACAGAGCATTACATATATAGAGAGAAAGGCCTTGTTTGGTTTAACTCTCAAAACACAATTTTTGAAAAAAAAATTTCGGAATATTGTTTGGCTAGAAATTTAGATCACTTTTTCTCTCCTACACATCAATCAATCATTTTTTCTCTCTCATCTCTCATCTCTCATTCTCAATCACTTTTTTTCTCACATACATCTACTCAACTACAGCAAAACATCAAATCATCCCAAACTTCCATATTTCAAAACTATTTCCAAAATATACAACCAAACAAACCAAAAAAATTTCTGAACTCTTTCCCCCTTTCCCCAAGATTTTTTTTGAAAATCTATCTCCCGAAACCAAACCAAACACACCCAAAGACTCTCGGATTTTTAGAAAGTGTGTTTATGAGAGAGAAGGCATTAAATGATTTATGAGAAAGTGGAGTAGTCTGTGAATAGACTCAGATTGACACAAGCATATTCCCAAGGCCTCCAATAAAAGTACGCTATATTACATTTATTCGGTCGGGTTTGGGTTCACCGGGTGTGTATGTTCTATATCCAATTCCGTTCCTGAATCCGTGAAAAAATATATAAGAAAACCGCAGCCGACCACTGAACTGCTCGAAACCACCCGTGACCTCACTGGTCGGTTTGGTTCGGACGGTGTACATGGGTCATCCGATGTAATGAGTAGCCCTACCTATTGGTAGCAGATTCATACATATACAATCTGATTGCAATTGTAACCGTCATGATAGTGTTGTAATTTATGCAAGTGCTTATAAATAGTTAAAAAGGGTTGGATAACATATATTTTGTAAATTTTTTTTTGTCAACAATTATTGTGATACTGTTTCCCCCCCAGATATATTACATACTCAAAGGAGGAGGAGGCCATTCGGTGTATTCAATCAGTACATGGTTTTGTCCTGGAAGGTAGGTTTTTAAGGTAAGGACACATCCTTTTTTTTAATTCTCCCATTTAATTGGCTGTACATGCTATGCTATCCATCAATTGCTGTTTGGATGACCATTGGAAATTTGCTTTTGCAGAGCATCGTTTGGAACCGCTAAGTATTGTCATGCATGGTTAAGAAACATGGTATGGATATAAGTTACTTTGTAATGGGTGTGTGGGTGACGCCAGATTTCCTTTTCTGTATGCTGTGGGGACATTTAAAGTGATCTATTTCTACTGAGAATGGTTTTTCTGTTGGTCCAGCCATGCACCAATCCTACTTGTTTATATTTACATAGCATTGGTGCTGAAGAAGATAGTTTCAGTAAAGATGAAGAAGCTGCGGTTCATACAAGGTATTACATGCAGAAGTTTCAATTCTCTTGAATATGTTCCAATTGCTTGGAAAAATCTGTCTGAATTTGAAAAAATTGCACTAATTCTTTTTGTGTGATTTTGAGGTCAAAAGTTCGAGCAATAGATACATAATATTATGTTTGAAATTTTAGAGTGTGTTTGGTTTGTGTTTGTAGAGTAGTTTTTAGATAAAAAGTACGAAAACTTGTTTGGTTTGCCTTTTTTCAAAAATGGTTTTGGAAAATTGTTTTCGGGAGAGAGTTTTAAAAAAAGTGATTGATTTGATGTGTATGAGAGAGAGTGATTTTGGAAAGTAGATAACCAAACAAAATTTTGAGATTTTTTAAAAAAAAATTTGTTTGGTTGGATTACTCTTGCAAATTTGTTTATAGAAAATTTTTCTCAAATTTTTCTGAAAAACAAACCAAACAAGGCCTTAGTTTCTCTTGCTAGTGGAGAAGCTGAACAAACAACCAAGCCACTCTTCGTGGTCCATTTTACTTTAGCAGTGATTGATGTTGATTTGCATTAAACTTAATTCCCCTATCCATCAAATCGAACTATTTGGTAATGTGTTCTCTAGTAAGCTGAATTCACAATTTGCCTGACGCTAGCAAATTCTCTGCAGGCTGCACTTTTATGTGTCCTTTATTGGCTTCTAGCATATGCATTAAACACTTTCTGAATGGTTTACACAGACTTCACTAAGTATGAAGAAAGGGGCTGCATATAATGTTGTTTGCTTCTCTTGATTAATCTGATTGAAGGTTTTTATTAGCTGGTCATGCACAGTGATCCTGTGCCAATTTGGGAGATTTACATTATGTAAATGTTAACACAGACAACTTAAATATCATGAAGGCATGCCCAGTATTTGATAATTTTCAAAATTGACTCCTATAGTAATTATTACAAGTAGTCTCCTATAGCATTTTTCACTATATTTTCTCTTTTTCATCCCTTGCATTATGCCTTCTACATTTTTTTAGAGGTGCTTTTCATAAATAAATATGTGAACAGCTAATTATGTGATTCTTTGTAGCCGTCAATGTGTGTGTCTTTATGTTTATTTTGTTAATTTGCTCTGAAACTATTGGTTTATAAGTTTGCTTTCATCATTGTAATATGTACAATTATGTCATTGCAATTTATAGCAAGTGTGTATTTGTAGCACTTAACAAGAAAATTTTGTTTTTTGAAAAAAAGCTGAAAAGGTTTCAGGCATAGTTTGTAAATTGTGAATCTTTTTAGCTGGGATTGTAAAATTGTTTTGTCTGAGGCCTTTGACTAGTTTGGTTCCTTCCATTTTCAGTACTCTTTAGGATTTGTACTCTTTTTTTTCCAGCTTCTCATCTTGGTTTGTTTCAGACTCTTCAGACTGTTCTCAGGTTGTGTGTTTTCCTTCAGTGTTCTTTGGCGATATCCTTACTGTATGGTTTGACTTGCATTGTGGTTTTACAGGAATAGAGTTCACCAAATTGTGGGTGATACACATAATATGCAACGGCGCTCAGGGAATATGTTGCCTCCCCCGCTAGATGATCCCTTCAATGGCAATAGCATTGCTGCTGACAAAGTTTTGGACAAAATTGCCCCAAAAGTAAGGCTTATTGTTTACCTATATTCTGTAGTGCAAGAAATATTTTCCATGCCATGTAAAATATGAACCATTTATATTTCATGATAAAGATAGGTATATGACTATAAATATTGGTGGAGCATTGTAAAATTGATTGAAGACAAATGTTATGCACAGCCTAATCAGATGTGTTTCCTGTGTCCAGGACACAGCTTATGCTACAGAAACTTCCACCGGCCACATGACTTGTTCATATTCATCTAATGATAGGGATGGGCGCATTAAAACACCTAACAAAACTTTTGTAGATATTGTCGGACGATCTAGTTCTGGTCCAGAAAAAGATGGGAATGTTGCTGAAGATAGAAAGATTTTAAACTTATGCTCTGACTTCTCTTCAGTAACAATTGATACAGACTATCATCTTGAGACTGAATACTCTAATTCCATGCTACGTAAGGTTTCATCTCGGAGTCAGCTTCCCATTGGATTGCCCAGGGATAAAGATTCTCAAGAATATTCACTCAAACCATTTAGAGAACCTTCAAGTTTTACAGTGTCGGGGAGAGCTGATTTTACACCCAGTGATGCATGTATTGCGAAAGGGCGATCTTGTTTGATGTTAGATTCAGGAAGACAAGCATTGCCTGGTTCCTGCAGTGATGTGAGAGAAGATTTTCTGTCTTTTGATGATCAGAGATCAAAGGGCTCTGACACCTTGAGTCAAGAGTCTTCTGTGCTTCCTTCATCTTATCCTATTAGGATTTCTGACCGTTCTAATGGTCGTGCGCAGCAGCCTAAAGAAATGTGTAGTTTAAGTGATTTCAATGTGAAGTGTAGCACTGTACATAGTCATGTTGATGAGGCTTCTATGCCATTTTCATGTGTAAATTCAATATTGAGTGATGGATACAATGAGAGGAAATTCCATAGTTCTATTGAATCAGATAGGAATTTTAGATCTTCTAACTCGTTCTCCAATGAGGAAATAGTGGAACACTTGAGAAGGCTTGACAATGATAATATTACCAATGATGATGACAGTTCTGCATTAGATGCGGTTGAAAGCAGTATAATATCAAATATCTTGTCTCTGGATTTTGATTCATGTGACAATTCTTCGACCTTGTCTCACAGTTTAGCTGAATTGTTTGATGGAAATGGTGGGCGGCATGGTTCTTGGAATTTTCGTAACAGTGAAAAATCCATGTTCTCATTTGCAAAAGAAGAGAATTCTGTGAATCAAGCAACTGATTTGGACTCATCCTTCAGTAACATTGGTCAGGTGTCTAAGCGATGTGCTCTCCTTCCTGATTCCATGGAACATGAGGATCACTACTTCTGTGGGCCGCAGCACCACGGTAATTGTTCTTTTTGGGGTTATTATCGTCCTTTTTAAAATTATGATGCTCTTGTTTTTTCTATTTAAAGCTTACTTGCAAATTATGTCTCTATTAGATTTTTCATTTTTGCTTCATCTTCAATTCTAAAAAAGCATATAAAATTTCATGTTATTTTCTTTTTAATTAATCTAGTTCATCTTGATTTTCTTTGCTTTGTGCCCTCCTCTCAAAACACTGGCAGCTTTGTTTTCTGCTTTGATTGCTTGCTGCAAATATTGAAGTATTCGCTGTTAACTTCTAGTCTGGTTATTTGCACAGTATGTGATTTTCTGGATGAGTACTTGTGTGTCATCCCTAGTACAGGTCTTCTTTCCTTGCGTGTGACTTTGATCTTCTTTGAGATACTTCCACTTCTGTGTCATTCTTGCTCTATAATATTTTACAAAAAACTGTTTTGATGACATTGGTGCCTTGGATTTTAGTTGTGTATCAGATATTTTCTCCAAAAAGTTCCTATAAAATATATATATATATATATATTTACATTAGGTGGTTGGAAATCACATGGTCATCCTAATTGTTTATGAAATTGAAATTTAGGTAGGACCTTTCTATTTTTTGCCCCAAGTCTTTTGATTATGAGAAATTACGTATTTGTTCAGAAATTAGGTATTTTTTTCTTTATGGATAGAACACTGGAAAGAAAGATCAGATAAACAATTTTAATCTAAATAGAGCTTGAATAGTATGCTTCTATTTATAAATTTTGTGTAATAACTGCAATATTTATTATAATTTTTTAATGTCATTGGTGATCCCACTGCCATTTGTCACCATGTACCACTTTCAAATGTTATGTTTTTGTTGGTAATACTATTTTTTCCCCAAGAAAACTGTAATATCCAATCAGCATATGAGATCCTGCTAACTAGGTGGTGTATGTGGATGTCTGTTTATGGTTTTTGGATCCTTTTTAGTATTTAAACTTTAGGTTGCCCCTTTGGACTCTATTCCTACTTAACGTCAAACTCATTGTAATATGATTGGTTATTACTTGTATCAACTTTGTGACGCTGAATTTTTTTGCTTATGATTTCTATTAACAGTGTCCAGGGCTCCAAGTTTGACTCCACCAGGATTTTCAGTGCCATCCAGAGACCCGCCTCCTGGGTTTTCCGCATATGAGAGAACAAACCGGGTTGTTAATCCCACCTCTGGTATGCTTCTCTCTCTCTCTCTCTCTCAGGATTACACATGCTGTCTTTGTTTTCACAAGTAAACTTCTGTTCTTTCTTTACTTCGTGTTTCAGGGAATCATTTGGTTAACACCACTTCCTTACCAAACAGTCAGTATTGTGCCCATCAGCAGGAAATATTAACAACACCGCGAGTTGATCTGATTGATCCTGCCATATTGGTTGTCGGTAGAGGTAAAGCAACAGATGTGTCGAACAACTCGGGCTTAGAAACGTGGCCAACTTCTACTCAGCCCACCACCTATGAAGATCAGGCAAGACTTTGGCTCTTGATGCAACAATCTGCATCTGCTTATCAGGAACCAAAATTTCCTCCGATCTTCATGCAAGAAACGACTCCGTCTACACATCAGCAACTGAACTTTTCTGGTCGCATCGGGGATGGGTTTTCTCCCATTGGTGATACTTTTGGCCTTTCATCGAGGTTCATGGATCAACACCAGACCTATAATCCATCCCCTTTTGCTACACAATTGTCGTCACAGCAGAAATATGGAAATGGACATGTGTCAAATGGCCATTGGCCCGGTATGGACGAGGTCCGACTCAGGAACGAAGTAGGCATGGCTGAAATTCAGAGAAATGAGATGTTAGGGTTCAACAAGTTCTTTCCTGGGTATGGGGATTTAATGTTGCAGATGCCCAGCACAGGCGATGTATACAATAGAGCGTATGGGTTGTAACTGTCTCATTTCTTGTTCAAAATGAAACTGTTCTGTTCCCTTTTCAGCTTCTTGGCAAATGTAGTTTCAGCAAAAGATGAAATATTTCTACTTTCTCAGGACCGCACTTCGGTATAGGATTGGTCCAATAACTGTTTGTTGCAGTCAATGTGTCAGTTTCAGGACTCAGATATTCTAGGGCAAATTTTCTGTTCATTCTGCGCGGGTGAATATGATCACAACCCTTGAGCAAGGGATTCTGAGAATGTTGCTTTCAAGTAAGTCAATAGTAGTAGTTCTTTACCAATACACTAGTATATGCGTTGGCTTTTAGGGGAGTAGATCCAGTATGTCTTCTTTGTAGTCTATAGTTGTTTGCTTTGGGGCTTGGAAAGTGAAATGCCTAGGTTGTGTATTTGCTTATGTCACTCCTTTGTTAATGGTTGGTTTAATGCAAAAAAATTCTAGCTTTTAGATGGCTTGGAAGAAAGGTTGCTGATTGGTTAAATACCCTCCAACTAGGTGGAGTAGCCATTGACAATCCTCTTACCTTTTGTGCTACCAGTTTTTTTATTTGGACAAAAACTAATCATCCCTTTCACGGAAGTTTGGGACCCACAAAAGAGTATTAAACCCATATCCGGTTCTATGATGGGTTTCTTTGCCCCTCGACCTTTTATTTGCGATATATATATATATTTATAAATAATGTTTCAAATCTCACAGGGGATGACTGACAAATATGAGAAGCCCTATTATCACAGGGGATGATGATGACTGATGATATCACAGGGAATTGGATTGTTAGAACTGGGTAATAGTAGCCTGGAAGTGATGGGTGCTTTTTGGTTTAGATACAGGTTTTTGCCCCCTTTTCCCGCGTCTGATTTTGATTGCCCAGGGACTGGTATACACAGGGTCCTAACTAATGATAGTTACTTTATAGGTGAATAAAATTTTCATTTTTTTTTTTTCTTTCTAGTCTGATTTTGTTCACGCACGTTTATGGTGGCGAACATAACCCACCACCATTATCCTAATTAGTCTTGGAAGAACCAATCAGAATTGTAGGTACCCAATTACCACCGAATGAATAATTATCTGAAAAAAATGAAAAACCAGAGAGAGAGAGAGAGATAGAGATATAGATAGATAATTTGATTTTCCTCTGGTTGGGGGCCTGCAAAAGTTTGTTTGCCTGAGCAATGCTATAGACCACTAATTTATCATCACTAATACCATCACTAGTGAGGTGGCAATTGAAAAAAAAAAGGGAAAAAAAAAAAACAAGGCACAAAACACATGTGGCAGTGAGTGGGACCCACTGCCATATCATTAGAGCCACCACTAATTAGTGGTCTAAAGCATTTTTGATAAAATAAAGCACAAATAGGAGAAGAAAAATGTTTGAGACCTCTAATTAGAGGTACCACCACCCACTGTCACATCAGTGCTGTGTCTTGGTTTTTTTTTTTTTTTTTTTTTTTGCCTTTTCCACCTCATTAGAGGTGTGTTTAGAGCCTCTAAATTAGAGGTCTCTAGCATTGTTGCTCACTCGATACTCAAAAGATAATAAAGTAAAAGCAAGTAATTGAGCAAATATGCTTTGGGAGGTGTGGTGGGACTGGATTAGTGCTAGTGTGCCTCCCAGGGACAGGTGGTATTGGTGAAAATACAATTTGCGTGTATATATATATATATATATATTTGTGGAGAATTTGAAATAGTGTATATATCTAATCAACTCCTATGAAGATAGAAAGTGGGAGTTGCTAAGTGACAGTTGTAACGGGTGGCAAGTATTATTTCGTGATTGATTTGAAGTAACGACGTAGACAATATCACATAATTTTCTGAAAATTATAAATAATTATTGAGAAATTTGGAGATTGATGCTCTTTTGTAGAAAATGCTCATTCTATCAAATTATTAGTGCACTAAGATGTAGCACTTTTAGGTTGCCTTTGGGTAGCAAAATTTGTGTTTTGTACTTGTAACTTACACATGCATTTCCCATGGAAACGAAGTACTGGTTAGATGTGAAATCAACCATTGGGAGTGTTGTGTACATTTTTTAAAAACCTCTGACAGGCTAATAATAGGAAAACATGTCTAGCACACAAAAGGGTTGGTGTTATTGCCCAAGTTGATTTTGTTGTTATGTCCATGCTTTTTAAAATAAAAAAATAAATAAATAAAGAGAAAAAAAAGAAGAAAAATATGGTTAGTCATGACATATTTTCTAATTAAAATGGCCTAGTTGAAGCATCAGCATCGGCATATCTAACTTCGGACATTTATTAGTTTAGTGGGAGATTCTAAATACACCCACAAAAAAAAAAAAAAAAAAAAAAAAAACCCTTTATATATAAGAGTTTTCTTTCCTAACGTAGAAAAATTGCAAGGGGGGAGTGGGGCAAATTTTTTTTTTAAAACACAAATATGGAAGGATACAGTTTCTGACTTGCATCCCATCACAAAATCACTTGTACTCCATATGTTTTTATAATTTTTTTTATTTCTCCTACTGTGCTGTAATTTTTCCAAATTAAAATACATACTCTGTGAGTGTGAAGAGAAATTTCATAAATGTATCTAAAAATATCCTAATTTAGCCGGGGGCTTTTTGTAAAAAACTTTCACAATGGCCCTTAAAGCGGTGTGTATGGATAAAGATTTGAAGGGTTATTTATGAAAGAAAATGAAAATAGAAGAAAAAAATTGAAAAAAAACTTCTATTTCATTCGCCTCTCTCTCTCTCTCTCTCTCTCTCTCTCTCTCTCTCTCTCTCTCTCTCTCTCTCTCTTCTTCTTCTTCTTCTTCTGCAAATCTGTTTCTAGATTCTTAATCCAACTACAACTTAATCGTAATTATCATAGGAATATTGCTGTTATTTTTTTTTTAATACAAAATCCTCTACTAGGATTATGTGGATTAAAGACCATCCTTATGGATTATTTATTTTAAACTTGGGTTTCTGTCAAAATCATTTTATATTTAATATCACAATGATTGTTTTGTTTTTATATCATCAATCTTATCAAAGTTATCTCCATCTTAGTAGTGCTTTAATAACTCATTGGACAACAACACTAAGAATGGTACAATATTCCTGTGATCCTTTAATTACTAAAATAAGTATGTAATGTCTCCATCAGAGAAAAGAAAAGAAGAGGAGAAGGAACAAAGTCTTTTTTGAACAGAATAAGGAACAAAGTCTTTTTATGTTAAATGATTGTTATGCAAGTAAAGAACTATTTTGTTTTCAATTTCTAAAAATTTAAAAATTCAAAGGAGGGATTGTTCTGTTTGTAGCATTACTAATTACGCCGAAAAAAAAAAAAAAAAAAATCATTCCACCTCATTCAAAAAAGAAAAAGAAAAAGAAAATAATCCAGTTAAACAAGTCCTAAAATTGGTTACATGATCTTTTTTCGCCATTCCATTTTCCCAAGACGATATCTAATATCAAATAAAATAAATTTATATGTTTTTTTCCAATATGAGTTATACTTTTTTCCTTGCCCTAATATTTGTTGGTGGAATTCTTTCTTCCTTCACCTTGATTGTCACGTGTGGAAGATACGTTGCACAGTTCTCTTGAACGCATATATATGCACTCTCTTATGGTGTGTTTGGTTGAGGGATTTGAGGTGGAAATTGGAAAAGGAAATGGAAAATGTAGGTGAAATATAAATAAAACATACATATATTTCACATACCTTTTTCCTTTCCTTTTCCAAATCCCTCCCTAAATCCCTCAACCAAAGACAACATTAATCTCTTCCTTTTCAATTTATTTTCAATATGCACTACTTATTATTTTACAAATATATTCATTTATAACTGTGTATCTTTCTTGATCTTACCACAATTCTGAAAAAAACAGAAGAAGGGTAGATGTGGTGGAATACTTGCTTTTCCAGGAATAATCAAAGGGGTTGGGAATTTTCAGTCAAGAGATAGGAAAGATTGTCCCAAATCATCCACTTGTGTCTGCAACAACTTTTGGCATCAAAGGTTTAAAAGGGTATGAGAAATTTTTTGGATGCAGATAGGGTAGATGAGAATCTAGAATAATAATTATAAATATTAATAATAAAAATTATAAAATTTTCCTCAAATCTCTAATAACTTTTAGAAACTATCACTGAATGGTTAATTTCTTGTTCATTATTTTCAACTTTTTTGGGATTCATTATTTTTATGTTGGGTGTTTAAATCATGCCACATAGTACCATCATAAAATGAAATAATTTTTTGAGAAAATTGCAAATATATGGAGTAGTGAAACAAAAATCATAGTTGCACCAAATACATTAATGAATTTACACTATCCATACAGAAAGATTATATCATTATGAAAATATAATTTTTTTTCTACTGCTCCATTGAAATATAATTTCTCCTAATTTTTTTGGTAGGGAGATACCCATTTCTTAATGGGTCAGGCCTGCACTTCAAAACCATATTCCAACTTTCATTTTTTGGGTTAACTTTCGAATCTATTCTGGATATCCACTGTTCCAACCTACTAGGAGAGAGAGGGAACCACTATTGTTTCTTCCACTTTTCCTTGAAAAAGGTCACATCATTAACAAGAATGCAAAAAAAATCTACTGGTTTAAAAGATGACATAAAATCAATCACCATTTTCATTCCTAGGCAATAAAAACAAAACATAGTTTCGAATGGTCCCTTATCGGAAGAACTCTTGAAGAGAATTGATCGAATCCTGTGTCTCCATTTCTCTTGTCGTTCTGTTTTTAATTATTTTTCTATCATGTAATCAAAGTAAAAAATACACGCTACATGATATAGAGTTCTTTAGCGCACAGAAACATTTGTGTGATAGAGAGGTCACGTTTGATGAGACCTGAGGTAAAATATCATATATGTGCAACCACTAGCAACCTTCATATATCAGGTGAAGCTTCTGTGCTGCCCTATGGGCTCATTTTGGAATCCGTTTTGATGATTTGGAATATTCATATTTTAGAGTATATCAAATAGAATATACTTGTAAAAAATCAATTTACATTAATTTTTTTACAAGTATGTTTTACTTGATATATTCTAAAATATAAACGGTTCGGATTATCAAAACGAATTCCGAAATGAGCCCATAAGACAGCGCAGCACAGCACATCAGGCACACGGGGACTTGAATGTAACACCTCTGGCTGATTACTGTTCAAGCTTATACAGCTATAATGGCTGAGTCAACAAACAGATCATTATGTGAAGATACAATCTTCTCTTATTGGTGAAAAATGAAAGCCTCCTAGGAGAGAATGGTGATGATACCACAATTATAGCAGAGCAAGTCCTTCAAGGTATAAATATCAAACTATACATCATATTATATGTGTATGTTACACACTAAAACAGAAATCAAATTTTGACACTCATCATAAATTTTGTAGCTTAATTACCGGCCCAACTGACCTTCCAAAGAGAATTGTGCAAACAAATTATTGAAGCCAGGAGCTTGCTTCAGCTCTAGTGATTGTAGAAATGGGAAATGTTGGTGGTGGGTGTTGGAATGTAGAGCTTGTGCGCCGTCTTGTTTTGCGGTGGAAAGGTAGCTGGCAAAGCGGCTGTACTGTTGGGAGAAGAGAATCCTGATGATGCTGCAGTAGAGAATGGTGCCACTGGGCTAACCACACTGTGGCTATGCATTTGCCATGCCCAGTTTGAGAATGCCAGCGAAGGAAGGGCTTCAGTGGACTTCCCTATTGCTCTTTCCTGTCCAACCAAAGATGATGATCAACACCATTAATTTCTCGGAAATCCAAATGAAATGGTCTAGGAACACAAAACCAGACACAATGAGTTGGGTCCCACCTTTTTGGGGTATTGTGTCTAGTTTTGTGAATGATTTTTGTGCAAGTAGAAGAATTGAATCCAAATTAGATGCTCAGCTTGCTTTGTCTTTGTGTTTGCGTCTTTAGTTTCTTCTTCCAACCTTTTTTGTTATATGAAAAACTTTTAAATCTAATTCTCGATGAAATGTCAAATGAGAAACTACATAAAATTAAATCTACACTCATGTCTCCTGGATCATGTATATAAACATAAAAGGGTGAAAAAAAGGGGGAAAAAAAAGGGAGAGAATAATTTACAAACAAAATTGTGGCCTATGACCAGTACTATTGATGAGATGGTAGTTGAGGAAATAAGGTCCAACACTACATGCTACCCACCTTAGAGAATGAGATATTTTGTTTTTGGCTGTGCATAAGATTTTATAATCCCTATATGTATATTGATACATGTTAAATATATCTTATGATATGATAGATTTCTATCTTAAGGGAAATGTTAAAATTGTTGAATGAGCAAAAAAAGAAGTGGGCAATAATTGGTCCTACTACTTGTGTAGACACAACAACATCCAGAGGAAACAAAAGCTTAAACTGAAGTTCTAATCAATCAGAAGGTTTGTTAGGAGGCTAATATATGATTTGAGGTGTTCATTTGTTATTTACCAATCTGCTAAAACAAGGGCCCTGACTTTTGCTATGGAATGCTTGCTTGCTTACCTAACTCCAGGAATCATTACTGTATATAGAATGTGATATTATCCTAGAAGGATTGCATTTCTCTATGATTTAAAAGGTAGAATTGGTGAATCAGTTGTGTAAAATGAGATTTGACATAATTGATAGTAGATAGTCACCTCATAGTTTGGTGTGAAACTGGGATAGATGCCAGACCGTATTGGAGGGTGCTTGGATGCCATTGTTAGACCACGGGTGTTTTGTCCATCCGTAGGAGTAGAAATAGAGCTCTCAACCTGTAAAATACAAAAAAGACAATGATCTATCAAGAGCTTATAGTAAATACAAAGATCATGACCTACACAACAGAGAATTAAAAACAGCCACACATATGAAAAACAACTGAAAGTGATTGAATAGTGGACAAACAAAGCTCCTATCCAGGACAAATAATCTCTCTATGGCTATAGTGCACAAATAATTTAAAAGCAAGCTGTATGGAAGATCTCAATTTTCACCGAGTCAAAATGAGTTCATAAAAAATTTTTAGACAAAGGGAAAAAAGACAATGATCTACCTTTGGCCTTTTTCCATCAGGCATTTCACAAGCAGCACAATGTGATTGGATATCTCTGACATTGACATTACCCTTTGGAACGTCTGCAGGTGGAAAAATCCAGAGGTTCAAATCAAGATTCTGAGATGTGCCTCCATCTGTAACAAGTATAAAATTGTTAATCAGGTAATTTGTTGGTTTGGTTTGCATGTTAAACCAAATAAAGTACAAATTACCATAGAAGAACAGTACCTGCATTATTGGCATCCGTACTTATCATCTCCCCTTCATAGGTACTAGGCTCAAAGTTGGTGACTGCTTCCCTTCCGTTACATTTGATTGCTGCTTTGTCATAAGCCCTGGATTCAAAAAAATTAAAATAGAGGTTTTGTTGGATGAAGCCCGATAAATTAGAGATTTCAGATGAGAAATCCAATTGTCAAGGAATATGAATTCATGAACACGAGGACCTTGCAGCTTCTACTTCACTGTCGAATAACCCAAGATACATATACCTGCAAGCAAACATCATAATCTCATAGATAAAAAGGGTCCCTAAGCATTTCTGCTTTGAAATTACCAGCCTAGATTTTTATCCAGTATGAGTAAAATTACAATGGCAAGTTCTCAAAAGCCAAATTAGAGTTCCTAACATCATCTACCAGGTTTGTAACTTATGGGGGTGTTTGGGAAGAGGGTTGGGCTAAAATAGCCTATTAAAAAACAAAATAAGCTAAAATACCTAATAAAACAAAATGTCACATATAATTCATAATCATTTTACCTTTCCTCTTATAACTATCAAATCAACTACCAAAAAACCAACTAAATTCCCAAACACAACTATTTTAGCTAAGCTAAAATAACTAAAAAGTCAAATAGCCAACTTCCCAAACAAGACTATTTATATCTAACAATAAGATCATCTAATTAATAATAATGGTTTTATGTTCAAGGGCTACTCACTTCTTCCCAAGGAATTGTCCCATTCGAGCCTCCCATCGACCACATTTATGCAGGGTCACTCCTCTATATTTCGAACTCCCCCGAGAGAATCCGGTGCTTTGGCGACGAAGAATATGGACAAATTCCTCTTTAGTCAGGTTTGTCATCTGTTCATTAATTAAAAGACATTTAGCTTGCAAAAAATTAATTATGCTCAATATAAAGACAAAAAAAGTGAACAATATCTTGCCATTTTTTGCCTACCTCTTTCATATCGTCCTCGTAATCCTTTATAGTGAAATTGATATCGGCCTCAACTCCCCTAAACTTAATCGCAGCCCGATCATATGCTCTGAATAATGACGATTAAAATTAAAAAAAAAACTCTACAGACTAGTTGAATTTCAATATCGGATGTCACAAAAAATAAGCCCTTACCTAGCGGCAGCATGGGCAGTGTCAAATCCACCTAAAACAACAACCCGACATAAACAGTTTAATCAGAAAAGACCAATTGTTCATAACAATCTTACTAATAGTCAATTTTGCGATCGCAATTATATCAAGCAAATAGATCAATTGCTCACCCAGATACACTTGTTTCCCACAATCCCTGTACATCAACACAAACACACACACAAAGTTCAATTCAAATTAATCCGACCAACCAAGTACATAATTCATGTCATTCATAAACCTTTATATCTATATATATATATATATATATAAATTGCTAAATTAAGAAAACAAAATACAACACATAGGTTACCAGATATGTGATTCCCATCTTCCAGTTCTTCGATAAAACGTAACACCACGATATTGCGAGCTCCGAGACCTAGGCCCCCGCCGACTCTTCTTCACCGGCTGCTGCTGCGGCTGCGGCTTCTTTTCAGCTTTCAAGCCGGCCGCAGCTCCAGAGTCCGGAAACGAGAGATTCAACCACTGCGGCCTCAACAACGAGGTCGCCGACGACGACGATCCAGAGCCAATCTCCTCCGAATCACCGACAGGAAAAAGCTGCCTCGTAACCAGCAGCGGCGCCAAGTTTCGGTCACATTCGTCTCCGATTGCGACGATGTTACCAACTCCAAAACCTTTGCCTCTACTGAACACATCGAAATTGAACGGAGAGATCATGTTAGAGTTGGAGTCTTCGTCCGCAGCATTGTTCGGAGCTTCGTCAGCGTTGACTACAACGGAGGAATTCGAAGTTACTGAATCATCACCTTCCAGAAGCTTCCTCGTCGCGATCTTCTTCTTCTCGAGCTCATCGCAAGTTGATTCTTCCGTAACCACATCAACGTTGAGATCCAACATCTCTCTCTCTCTCTCTAGGTTCAGAATTAGCTTTCAAATAATACTGATATTCAATCGCAGTGGTTTTCACAGAGCATTCAAACTTCAATCCCACGATGACGATAATGAAGATATATATATATATAGAGAGAGAGAGAGAGAGAGAGAGAGAGATTGAGATTGAGATCTGAAAATTGGAATTGGAAGAATGAAAAGAGATACAGAGATTACAGAGATAGACACTGAAATGAAGAGAAAGAGAAGAGAAGTGTAAGCGAAATAGAAGTGAGGTGTGAGAATGAAGCTCAGAGGAGTTGCATTACATTACAACAGTAGAGAGAGAGAGAGAGATATAGAGAGAGAAAGAGAGTCATGGTGGTGAATATAAAGGACGCTTGTCAAGTTCCATGGCGAGAAGAAAGACAAATGGCTAGAGAGAGGGAGAGAGTAATGCAATGGAGATGTAGAGAGAGAAAGTGGTTTTGGTTGGTGATGGAAGAGGAGGAGAGAGAGGAAGAGTAAAAGAAGAAACCAAGGCTGTAATTCATTCATTCTTTCATTTCCAACCTCTTTCTTTACAATCCTCACTCCACTCACTCCCCATTAATTTTTATTAGGTTAATTTATTAGTTGAACAACAATGATTCATCCCACTAAAAATATCACCACTAATAGCACTAATACATTAAAAAAGTAAAAAAAAAAAAAAAATACACAACTCCAAGACCAAAACATCACATCATTAATGACGGGACACACTGCCACCTAATTAGTGGGAGCACTAATTAGTGCTCCCAAGCATTTTTCATTAGTTGAAACTATCATAAAATCATGGTCATACATTTGAATATTTTTCATTATAAAAATATTTTGTAAATATCTCCTTTTCTTCGAGTCAAACTCTCCGATTGTTTGTCCATTTTTTACATTTATGTTAGTTAATCAAACTAATAAATATATATATATATATATATATATTTTTTCACAAAGCAGACAAAGTGTTCAAAATTATTTTCAAAAGAATAATAATTATTATTCAACAACTAATATTTGAATATATTTGGAAAGTAAGTTAAAAATTAATTTTTTTGATTTTTTTAAAATAAAAAATGTGTAAAAAAATAAAGAGAAGATATAATCCAAAAAAAAAATTAAAAAAGCTAAAAAATTACTTTTAGCCATATTCTCAAAACAACTATAATTGTTCTAGTTACTTTTAATTTAGATATTACTACGTATTACTGTGACTATTTTATAAGATATTTTCACTTCTCATATATTTTCTAAAAATAAACATTAAACCGAATCTTAATTATGTAGAATAGGGGTAAGTTTAGGTATTAATCCACAGGAACAATTGAAAAATTAAACTAATTTAATTGCTAAGTTCCTAAATTAATTTTGAGAAGAAGCCTGATGATAATTATATTGGAATGAATAAGAAAACTTAAATTAGCAAAGAAAATTAGGATTTGAGATATTAATTGGAGAAAATTTCTAAGGTAGTGAATTCACTACTAGTTACGTAAATAAGGTTGAAAGTTGAAAATCGATTGTGATTTGGTTTGAACTACCCAATGCTTCACAATTAGAAACTTTCTCAATCCCCTCCTCACTATCAAACTTAATCCCCTCCCAATAACTCCAAACAAATGGGGCCTTAAAGTATTGATAAAAAATATTATCACATTCAATGTATAGGCACAAATCATCTCAAGTAATATAAGTCGTTTTCTCTGAACTATGATAGCAATACGACTCGTTTCTCATAGTATGACTTATCTCATACTTTGAATGCGAAAGAAAAAATAATCATTGTATGGAAAACGTTCAACAATCACAGAAAGTATAACACTTAAAGAAAATAATGAAAAATATATTGAAAAATCTTTTAAACACCACACAGCTTACTCAAATCATTACAACAATTAAAAAAAATCTAAGGAAAATCCTATTTATTTGGCCAGTGTTTCATTAAAATCCTAGAAAATGGACAATTAGCCACTCATGAATGAGTGAGAAGAGGCAGAGGAAGCAGCCACCATAGAAGACATTCTTGAAAACTCCAAAATCCTCTCTCCCAAACCCTAGTCTCCCTTCTTCTTTAGAAAATCTCATAACTCTAATTCAGTCCATTTTTCTTCCTTTTATTCTCAAAAAAATGCACTAAACATTTTGTGCACACTTCCCAAGGTGGCTCGCTTGAGTGCCCATATTGACTGCTCGAGCGGTGGTATGCTATACGTGTGGTGGACTGACATGAGGTGAATTTTCATGGTTTGAGGAGAACTTGCTTATGTGCCATTTTTCGCCTAAGAGTACGTGTTGTTCACCAAACTTGCACAAATACACGAAACACATCATCTCTGCCAAATAACTATATTTTAAGGACTATAAGCCTCCGTTTGGGAAGTGGGTTGGCTTTTTGGCTTTTTTGACTATATGAGCCTGGGCTCAAAAACTTAGTTTGGGAAGGGCTTTTGGCTTTTTGACTTTTTTGATTTTTTTGTAAGAGAAGAGCGTAATGATTATGGGGTTGGATGGGATGTTTTGTCTGTTGTGTCTCATGAGCTTATTCTGTCTTTTATGGCTCATTGAGCCAAAAAAGCCCAATAAGCCTTTGCCAAACCAACCCTAAATATAACTTAAGTGACCTTAATATGGTACCTTTCGACCTATGTCATATTTATTTTATAAATTTATGTACAAAGTACAAAACAATGATTGTCAAATAATATTTAATGGCTAATATGTGTTGTTACAATACATGTTAAAGTAGTTTTAATAGAACTGTTATAACCATAATAAGATAGTTGGGTTCTCCAATGGAAACGCTATTAAAGTTAGCAAATTTTGGCATTACTACCTTGGTTCTAAATTTGTCATAAATTTTAGCTCATTTAGGTTGGGTTACTTTAAGTTTATATCTGAACTTGAAAAAATTTGAAAAGCTTGCAAGGTCTATTACAGATCCTGTTGTGATGATCTGAACAATTTATTTCTGTAAGCTTCTAATATATATCATTTATGAAAGAAAAAAAAAATCTATCTCATAATCGTAATTTTTTTTTCATTTTTTGTTTTGGGAACCATGTTGTCCACAAAGTAATGGATACTTTTATAAAAATTAACAAATTTCATAAATTTTCCTTAGTCAAGTGCCATGGAATCTATTATATTGTTGAAGTGAGTTTAATTTTAAATTTTAATACTTTACTATTACATGACATATTAATTAATAATTTTTTAATAAAACTTATTAATTTATAAAGCAATTTCCAAAACTTATATCTCTAGTTTACCAAAAATGGTCAGTCACCACCAATGCGAAACCTTTGGAACCTAGTTCTTGGCCATTTTGCAATTTATATCTCTTTACCTACAAAAAAATTGGCAAATTATTTATTATCTTGCATTAAATATTTGAATTGATAAATTAAATATACATACATGTCTTGTATCTAACGAGGATTTCCACGTGGCAGCGTAGTATACGCTGTGAACAGCCCAAAATGGACGGGGATATCACTGCTGATATTGAAAATCAAGACTGGACAACGTTGACTTTGCTATATGTAGAACAATTATTCTCAGTACCACACTGTCAATTTTGTTAATTATTAGGTTTCGTTTAGCTATCTTTGTTGGGGTTAAAAAAATATAAATAATTTAATAAAATAAAATATTATATTTAAATTATAATTATTTTATTTTTTTTACAAAAATTTAAAATTTTAAAAAATAGAAAAAAAATTTGTCAAACCCAATCTAAAAAAATTTCAATTTCAAAAGCTAATTAAAAAAGTTTTTTTTTGGGTCAAAACGACAACTACGTTACCCTTGGTCAACGGTTGGGATCGTATTTTGATCAACGGTTGGGATCGTATGATGTCCTCAAAGTAGGGCCCACAAAAAAATCAAAACCTTGAATAAACTGCAACGAGGTTCACATGATATGAGCAGTAACTTGTACGTGTGTACCAAAGTACCAAAAATGTAACAAACTCATGTAAACAACTTCTTTTATTTATTATTATTTTTTAATGCTAACAACCTTATATATAGGTAAATTGTACTCATTTTCACTTCAATTTAAAAAAAATACAGTTAATTATATATTTTTTTATATAATTTTATATTTTTTAATAAGGTTAAAATAATTAGAACTAATACAAATGATAGTTAGACATTAAAATAAATATAAATATAAATTTTAGTAGAAAATAAATAACATATATATATATATATTGCATATATAAGACTAATAAATTATTAATGAAAAATGATAACTGGTAACGTAAATTAAAACCTCAAGAAAGATTATTAGTATAATTATGTCCAAAAAAAAAAAGTGTAAGACTAATTGTATTTTTCTAAAATTTTAAGAGAGATGAATGTAATATATATGGGAAAGATTATATGGTATACATCTCTCAAAAGATATGTACCATATACATCTTATAATTAAATAAGAAAAGGACAAATTACCAACACCCCCTCGAGGTTTGACTAAAATACGGACTCCCCCCTGAAGTTTGAGAAATTACAAATTTCCCCCTGAGGTTTAGTATAATTATTTGTGATTCAAATATAAACCTCAGGGTGCAATTTGTAATTTCCCAAACCTCAAGAAAAAATTCGTATTTTAGTCAACCTCGAGGGGGTGTTGAAAATTTGCCCATAAAAAAATGATATAATTTCATACTTTATGTGTCATAACTTAAAAAGTCAAAACACATAATCAAATATCTCAAAATAATATCATAACTAAAAAAGAGAATGTCGTAAATAAGGATGCATAGAGTATGGAGTGTGTATTGCAAAATTCTCCAATATATATATAAGAAGTTGTTGCAGGACGTATCATAATCATAATATTTCATAACAAATACTACATGTAACTTTTCTTATCAAAATAATTTATAATGTTTACAACACATCATTCATACATAATTATAATATTAATAACATAACCATAGTAGATTGTAATCTTCATTTTAAAAGTGCATATTATAGATTTATTTATTCGTAATTTTTATTACAAAATGACATAACTAATAGGATTAAATGGCATAACATTTGTGCTATTTTTTCACATGCTATTGTTACTATGTATTTGGTTTGGAGAGAAAAAGAGCAAATAGATAGATACATATATAAGACACACGAAATGGACGAAGAGACCGACCAAGGACGGTTATTATACGGATTCTATTCCTATTCTTCATGGAGAAAATGCTGTGTACTTTACTCCGATGTAAATTATGCATTGTAAGTATTACAAGATTAAACATTGTTTATTGAAAAATTTCACATTGCATTGATTGAATTAATAGGAGAGATAAGATATTCACATAATTTCATTTACAATTTTTTAATTAATTAATGATATTATGTAAGATATACGTCACAATTTTTGTAAAAATATTTTTCTTGGTTACGATTTTAAAATTAATGTATTAATGGTTGTAGCGGTGATGGTGACATTGATAAGAGTTTAATGGTTTTAGTGATAGGATGGTGGTAGCAGTGGGGTGATAATAGGATGGTGACATTGATAAGAGTTTACTTT